TGCCACAATTCACGACATGGCTTCCAGGCTCATAGGACTTGGGGAACAAGGTCAAGTCCACTTTTCAACAAATCCCAAAACAGCTGCATAAACTTCTGAGCATAATATAATCCAAATCAGGATTCTTCAGGTCAAAGCAGCGCGGGGGAGGGGGGGGTAGAAGAAAGCACAACTCCAGGTCATCAAGGACCCCGGTCCAGGGCCCTCGGGTTACAGAATGAGACTTCAAAGGCCCAGAGAGTGCAAGCGCCTTTCCCTGAGTCACACAGCAGTTAGCAAAGAGGTCAGTGCTAGAACCCCTGTTTTCAGGTTCCGCACGCAGCGATCGTTGCCAAGCGGGGCTAGGCAACAAGGGAAGGAGGGCAGCGACGCGCGGAAGCTGGAGCGGACCGCAGTGGTGCGGGTTACCTGTTTCAGCCCCAGCCCCAGTGTGCAACAGTCTGATCTCTGGCTGCCGCCCGTCACGGCTCGGCCTGCCCCAGATCACCTGCCGCAGGAGCAGCCGCACGCGCCGCGCGGCCGGGCTGCTGTAGCCGGGCGTCCGGAGGAGCAGGAGCCGGGACTGCATGGGGCCAGGGACGCTGCAGGTCACGGCGAGGGATACAGGGCCGAGCCGCGTCCCGAGCAAGCAGTGTGAGACGGCGCGACAAGGGGGACAGGAAGCGGCACACCGCCGAGTCCGCCGGAAACTCCTTCCCCCGAAAGGGCCGGTTTAGCCGACTTGACCTAGCATGACCGGACCTGCGAGGGCGGAGGGAGCTGGCGAACCCAGGGAGTTTGAGGCCGCCGCCGGGGCGAACCGCGGAGCAGGCGCGGGCGATCGCTGGGCTGGGTGCAGTGGCACTACGTTCCAAGCCGCACAGTTGCGGCGCCTTTGGCCCCGGCGTGCTCCTTTGCCTCCCCGAGCCTTCACCTGCGCCCTCCACACTGCTGCCCACCTGGACTCGCCTTGCCTGTCTCTAGTTGTCCTGCTGTGGCCTGAAAACTCGGGGGAGTTCAGGGAATGCTTAAGATTTTCGGGAGGGTTTGTCGAAGTGACTGTTCAGACACTTAAATGCACTCCGGTTAATGGCTCAGTTGTGTTACAGTGGGCTTTCTCCTATGTTGTTTCAAATACTTTTTCAGCAATTGAGAAAATATACATTATGGGAACTTTCACCTTTATTCATTTGCACAATAATACAAGTGTTTGCATACAGTACTTGAAAGCTTTTTCTTTGTCTTTTTTGTTTTCTAGATATTCTAGTTGAGCAGTGATTAAAGCATTCGGCTGCTAACCGAAAGGTCAGCAGTTCAAATCTACCACCGCAGGAGAAAGTTGAGGCAGTCTGCTACTGTTAAGATTTGCAGCCTTAGAAATCCTACCTGTCATATAAGGTTGCTATCAGTTAGAATCGACTAGATGGAAGTGGATTTTAGGGGGTTTTTTTGCTTTTGTTTTTGTTTTATTATTATTATCTACATATTTTATAGGAGCTCTGGTAGCATAGTGCCTAAGGCATATTTGACTGCTAACCAGAAGGCTGGCGGTTCAAACCCACCAGCCACTCCTTGGAAGGAAGGTTGGGCAATCTACTTCTGTAGAGATACCGCCTGGGAAACCCAAGGAGGGGTTGCTATGAGTGAGGTCTGACTCGATGGCGCATAACAACAAACTAACAAACATTTCATAACCGTTTTGTACATTAGAAATGGAAAACTCACCTTAGAATGTGTGTGTGTATGTGTATTTTTTTTCCACACTGCTAGAGTGATTTGAATATAATTTATGTGTTTAGTAAGAGAAAAGACTAGGCCACTAATTAAGGCTGCCTCCCTTTCATACATTTCAAAAGCGAAAGTGGCTCTCCCACAAAGCAAACTGAAGCTAATGTAATTGTATGCATCTCCAAAACGTCAGGAGTGAATTGACAAAAGCAGACTTTGAATCAAGGTATGCAAAACAAACTTTGAATGAAAGGAATACAGAAGGTTTCAACTTCTGTTTGTCTGAGACCTTGTTGACTGTAGAGCCAACATAATCTTTAAATACAAATTGATCACCTACCATGTGCAGAACCCTGTAATAGGTGCTTAGAAGAAAGTGATAGGAAAGGAAACTGAAAAAAAGAAAGAATCTGGGCTGGGTAAGGCTTTGTGCATCTCGAGGATTTGGATGTGAAGGCAGAAAACAGGCTTCTAACCTTGTTGAGGAGACAATGAAAATAAAAATAATAAACATTTGCACAGTGCATTACAACACAATTTCACACATATTTTCTTATTTAATCCCTACAACAATCCTATGAGACCACTAAGGGAAAATTACATAAATGTAGGATGTAACAGTCTACAAAGTGCTTTTCCCACCTTGACACACACTATGGACCAAGCATTGTGCTATAATAAGATAATGCATCATCTCATTTCACACAATAATGCTTTGCCTGAAGTACTATTATCATCCCTCATTTTACAGATGAAGAAACTGAGACTAGAAGAGTCTTAACCTGATCAGAGAATCCTCATTTAATTTCATGGAACAATATACATTTGAAAGAGTAGAAGAACAATCTAAGGCAAGGTAGCAAAATAACTGATGTAAGAATTAAGAGGCCTCAGAGTTAAGACAATGAGGAGATCAGTATAGGTTAGAGCACTCAACAAACATTTATTAAACAACTATTTTATTTTATTTTTATTAAACAACTATATAAACAGCACCCTGCTAAGTACTATGAAGAAATGAGTTTACACCACGTATAGGAGACAAACATATAAATAAAGAACACTTTACACTGGACCACCAAAAACCAAACCCACTGCTGTCAAATTGATTCTGACTCATAGTGACCCTATTGGACAAAGTAGAACTGGCCCATAGGGTTTCCAAGGCTATAATAATCACAGAAGCAGACTGCCACAATTTTCTTCTACAGCAGCTGGTGGATTCAAACCACCACTGGGGTCTCATATAGTGGATATAGATACACATGTAGACTAAGGTTCAAGGTACTCTGGGAGAGCTCTTTCGTGGGAGAGCTCAGTAAAGCTTCACATAGGAGGTGATGTTTGAAATGGTTCTTGAATGATGTACAAGAGTTGTCATGCTCAGAAAAGGGCAAGTCGTACCTGGCAGAGAGGGAAGAGCATGTACATGTACACAGAGAGCTGAAAGTACATGGCAAGATTAAAACTCTGAGAGTAATTCATTGTCTAAAGGTCAAGTATATAAACTAGTTTTTAGAAATAAGACTGAAAAGAGAAATTGGAAACAAGTTGTATGCCAAGGGAAGGAGTTTGCACATTGCCCCCCAGGAAATGGAGAGATGGTGAGGAGTGTTTAGAGTGATCATTTAGTAATGTGGAGGAAAGATTTTAGCCAGATGGAAGGTAGTTGAATGATAGTTTTGATGTGGATAAGTGAAGTCCAGGTATAGAGCCTAAGTTGAGGCTGGAGTCCTGACACACATGATTGATTTATGACACAGTAGAAGGGTAAGAGTGAGACTAGCCTGGCCAGATGGGATTTGTTCTTTAGAAAATAGTAAAAGCTTTTGTCAGAGAAAACAGACTATAGAGAAAGATTATAGACTAAGAAATTTGAATGTCATTTGGTTAACTGTGGTCAATATCATGAGACAAAGTGTATGTGAACTGCTGTATGGAAAGTGAATTTGCTCTGTAAACTTTCACCCAAATCACACACAAAAAAAAAAAAACCTAAAAAAAAGAAATTTGAATGTTTGCATGGAGAAGTTGGACTTCATTTTACAGACAAAACGGATAGCCATTGGAAGTCTTGATCATGTTTTAGGCAGTGTCATACACTATGAATTGAATAAGGAAGAAAGAAAGTATTAATTTCAATCTAAATGGCAGTGAAAATAGCCTCTGCTTGAAATGATGAAGCTGTAATCAGGGCAATGAGCCTGAATGAGAAAGAATAGATATAAGCAACATTTTTAAAGCTGAGCCAATGGTATTAGTTTTTAAAAAGACATCCATCACAACCTCACATAACTGTTCCCAAATTCTGACCAAAATATCTGTGCACATACTTCAAAAAAATATATATATATACCGAACACTGAACTGTCAAGTGTCAGTGTCAAGTGTCCTCTAGGAGGACTATTTTTTATCTACCATACTAATGTAACTAAGGAGCTCTGATGGCACGGTGCCTAAGACATTTGACTGCTAACCAGTAGGTTGGTGGTTCAAGCCCACCAGCTGCTCCATGGATGGGAGATGGGGCAATCTACTTCCATAAAGATTTACCGTGTTGGAAACCCAGGGGGAGTCGCTATGAGACAGAATCAACTTGATGGCAATGGGTTTGGCCGTGTGCGTGTGTGTGTGTGTGTGTGTGTGTACCCATACTTAAGAAGGATGCAAGAAGACCTAGTCTTCATGAAGCAAGAGAGATCAAGACCAAAAAGAAAAGACGGGTGAAATAAAAGAGAGAGAGAAAAATTATACAGTCGCAGAATTAAACACATAAGTCTTGCAGATCTTAAAATCCTCTTGCTACAAAATATCTAATAATTCTGGACAAAATATCTTAAAATATTATTTTAAATATATCTGTAAGCTTATAAGAAAGTAGAGAAACTTCTCTAAGACCCAGAATTAAAGGTGGAGAAAGTCTGGAATGTAAGGAATCACCAAGCTGCTGGATGCCTTGGGGACACCTGTTTTCCTAAGTACCTAAAAACCAAACCAAACCCACTGCCATCAAGTTGATTCTGACTCATAGTGACCCTATAGGACAGGATAGGACTGCCCAATAGGGTTTTTAAGGCTATAGATCTTTGGGGAAGCAGACAGCCACATCTTTCTCCCACAGAGACTGGTGATTTCAAACCACTGACCTTTTGCTTACCACCCAAGCACTTTAACCGCTGTGCCACAGCTTGTATAGGGAAAAAAAACAGGATAGAGGAGTGGGTTGAAGACCTCTGCATAAAGCAAGGACTAAAAAGGGACTATATTTTTAACTAAATAGTGGACTAGGAAAAACAAAACAAAAATTAAGTGAGACAGCAAGAAATCTTGTTTCTGCTTATTTTAGGTAGAAAAAAATGTATTTACCCTAAGAATTTGTGGCTTCTGCCTGAAACTCAGACAGGTCTGAGGCCTGAATATGCATTACTTTCTTGTTATAAAGAAAAAGCAAGCCAGTAATTTTTATTTTAAATGGACTCAGTAAATACATAGGATATTTGAACAGCAAAACTATTTGATAAACATATAAAACAGAAAATCTCCAAACCAAACTCACTGCCATGGAGTTGATGCAGACTCATACCGACCCCCTTTGGCTTTTCGAGGCAGTAAATCTTTGCAGAAATAGATTGTCCAGTCTTCCTTCCAATAAAACAAAAAGCTCAGCAAAAATTAGTTGCAGAGTAGTGATTATTTTCAAGTGCATGTATAATATTAAAAAATGGATTATAGTCTGGAGCAAAGAGGAGTGAAAAAAAATCAAAGATGCAAGGAAACAATTAGTCCAAAGGACTAATGGGCCACATGAACCCCTGCCTCCACAACCCTGAGATCAAAAGAGCTGGATGGAAACTGCTGACC